AAGTGCCGGTATCGGCACGTAGTGTCTTGTGTCCGGGTGGCACTTGGCCTGCCACCCGGACACAAGACTCAAAAACCGGACTGTCCGGGTGAATCCCGGGACAGGTGGCAACCCTAGCTCCCCGGCACATCCAGATCATGGCGAGGGGGTAAGAACTTATTGGCCTCCCCTCGTAAATTGGGCGCCGCCGCGGGAGGGAGCGGGGGAAAGTTACAATGGTGTCAGAAAATAACAACAACGCGAGACAAAACGCTGACAAAGGAAAGAAGATTTTGCGAGGATTTAATCTGAAAGATACGAGACTACAAAAACAACGGATCCATTTCCTCGGAAATCATATTATATACAGAGAGACATCGGCAGAACGATTCATAAATATTACACAGGAAATCGGAGGAAAATAATACAAAATAAAAAGCCGTCTGGCAGTGATAAGAATCCGAAGAGGAAACGGCGGCGGCGGCTCCGTCCGGGATTAAGACTTCAATCAGCGTGAAGGGACTCCGAGCATCTGATCGCTCCGAAGTCTTTGCATAGAAATGTCTGGACAGAAAGTTGTCGGCCGGAAGTGCAAAATGGAAACAAATTCAAGTGTCTGAACTAGAAGGATCGTTCTATAAAAAAAAAGAGAGTGGAGCCTGTCAGATGTGGGCGGAGCCTGTCAGATGTGGGCGGAGCCTGTCAGATGTGGGCGGAGCCTTCACCAGAATAGCTTATGCAAAACAAAAAAAAGCTTTGTATTAATTGTTACCAGGACCTGAATTTTATGTCTGACAGACAAACAGGTCGATGTGGTAAAAAGGAAGACCCGGCAGAGATGAAAGAAGTGTTACCACACCTGGGAGATCTTTGTTGTATCCCCCCCCCCCAGGGGCCCAAGTACTAGGAGCGCCGGGTCCCGTTCTGATCCGTGGCCGGATTGTGCTGGCTGTCGGCTCTGCTCCGGGCTGAAGCCCAATTGATGGTCGTCCTATAGCAGGAGTCTCAAACCTCCGGCCCTCCATCTGCGGTAGAACTACAAATCCCACGAGGCATTGCAAGATTCTCACAGACATGACTCCCGGAGAGAGATGCCTCATGGGATTTGTAGTTTCACCCACAGCGGGAGGTTTGAGACCCCCTGAGGGTCTGAACCCACCACCCCCGCTCCTTGGCTCAGCCCCATTCTGCTCCCCGGGATCACTCAATAGATGACATTTATACATCTTTGTGTGCGGTGAAGTTTTCCCCGGGCTCGGTGTGCTCACAACTAATGAGGTATTCCTCTGCTTTTGTGCAGTGTGGTCAAACAGCAGTGGGGGGAGGGGGAGCGGTCGACAACAGTAGTTCAGCAACCACATGACAGGTCCTCATGCTGCATGCAGCGGGTCCCCCTGGGGGAGGGGCGATTGAACAATATGTTTCAGGTTGTGGTGATACTTCCTCTGTAATCTGTCTGAAGAAGAAACGTTTGAGAGAGAGAGAAGCGAAATCATAGAGATCGGCCATTTTGTACAGCGGCAGACTATCGCTCCCCCGCCAGAAATGTGACACAATATCTCGCCCGAGTCTGCCAACTGCGGGCGGGCGACGGGTTCTCTTTAATATCGTGCACAGAACCGAAATACTTTTTCATCTCACCCCCCCGCATACAAATCAGTTTCATATTTTTTTTTGCAGATATAAGACACAAAATGAATACATCTCCCCCAATAATACAAGCAGTGCGAGTACCTAAGATCAACCTGGTATCGCCGCCCCCCCCCTGCAGTCCACGTACAGCAGAGCTCAGGCTGAGAGAAGGAGAAGCACCACAAGAAGCCATTGAGGTGTGTTGCAGGGCGAAAGGAGCATGCTGATGGGAGGAGAGAACAGAGAGATGAGCTCATCAAGTCTGCTGCTTCTCCTTTCACAGTCCGGGCACAGGCTGGGGGGGGAAGAGACGCTTTAAGTGTTACCGACCTGTCACTTCACTGGCTACATGCTTGTCCGAGGTCAACGAGTCTCTTAAGTAATGAAGGAACAATAGACACTATGGAGGCTGCGCCTCTAAAAACAAGGAAGTGAAGGCAACACCCCAAACTGTTAGTGGACTGAACCTTGAAGTGATCAGAGGGATCCCGACTCCAATGATTATTTATTTAATCCCTACGCTCCCACCCAAAGCAGTAACTCCTCCCCTAATCCCGCCCGAGCTGAATGACTCCCAGCATCATTCAATCCACTTCCTGTGAGACCAGGGCGTCAAGACCCGCCCCCTGGGGGTGTGTCATAAAGCTGACTTGGAGGACAGTCCTCACATCTTGAAATGGACAAGCCCACCGCGGCAGCTGCGAGGACCCGGGGAGGTCATGTGACCGGACTGAAGACAGAACATATACAAATGGTGGTGGTGGGCAGCGAGGGGAAGGGGGGGTCTGCTTAACCCGGAGTCAGGCTTTAAGTTATTTCAGTCTGGTCCTTATGTTCCTCTGCCCCCCGGGACAGGTTCTCTTTCATCTAAGGGCATCGTGGAAGGAACACACGAGGGCCTTTCACGGTCCAGATTGTAAAACAGAAAACGAATCCCATGCGGCAGCTCCGCCCTGAAGGCCACAATGAGGACGCCACGACCTCCTTCCCCGCCCGGGACCCTCCGAGTACCCGTCCCTTCCACCAGCTGACGTGGGAGCAGAGCAGGGGCGGCCTCAGCTGCATTATGGGAGACCAGCCGTTACTTTTCTGGGACAAGAAGCTGAAATTCGAATGCAGACTTCCAGCACCGAGAGGGCCGCCCGCCCCGGAATGGTAACCAGGTCATGGGATTGAGTACGGACATTCTTTTTAGGATGAAGCAAAGCGGATTCCGGTACACAGAGCCCGGAGCTCGCTATGTGCACAGGGTGGAGGTTCTGGGGGCTCGGCTTCCTTCCCAAATCTTCGACACGGGAGGATATCAAAACAGGAACCTGATAACGGCAAACGTCCGAGCGAGCGTTAAACCAAATACCCCAAACTTCCACCATCTTCCACCAGAGGAAATAGAATATATTGTACAACGCTTGAGGCCGAGGAACTGTACACAAGCGGAGTCATAGGGGAGGGGGATCGTATAACTGCAGTTCCTCATTGTGTCTACAGGTGGAGCTCTAATACAGCCGCAGTTCCTCATCATGCCTACAGGTGGCGCTCTAATACAGCCGCAGTTCCTCATTGTGTCTACAGGTGGAGACAGCTGCAGTCCCTCATTGTGTCTACAGGTGGAGCTCTAATACAGCTGCAGTCCCTCATTGTGTCTACAGGTGGAGCTCTAATACAGCTGCAGTTCCTCATTGTGTCTACAGGTGGAGCTCTAATACAGCCGCAGTCCCTCATTGTGTCTACAGGTGGCGCAAAATTTCCCCAAAACTTTATCAATATTAACGACTCTTAGAATCGATATTTAATTAATTCTGATCAATTGAAAACAAAGAAAAATGAACGATTTCAATCTTTATCGATTTCTTGTAATTCTGAGTAATAATTAAGACTTTGCGAACATTTCCTTTTCCGGGTGCGCCCTCTGACCTCTCGGCATGGTCTCGGCTAGCTGCGCAGCTCAGAGGCTTTCCATATCTCCCTCTTCCTGCGTCATTCTGCTCTGATATTTGCATAAGGGGGCGGAGCACATCAATGCATACTACTCTAGCTCCTCCCACTCCAGCCCCATACTCTGCGTGTAATTGTGTGCAGCAGCCCGGATGCCGCGCTCTCGCCATCTATTCTCACTGGCAGGTTGATGCAATTGTAGGCACGCGGGGACGACACGGAAGGCCATGCTGGGATCTGCAGTGCCGCTGATCCGGAAAGGCGTCACAAGGGGACACATTCTGCTTTACAGGACGAGGAGCCTCAACCCGCAATAACCAAAATCACCGGTCAGGCTGCTGTAGAGCGGCAGTTGAAATTTGGTTGCTATGGGTTACCGCAGCATCAGCGCTCTTTATAGACTGTCCTCTAATAAGACGTCAAAGGCCACAGGCAGAACCCAAGGAGACATCCCGGAATTGAATGGTGGGTTGGTTGACTCCGCCCCCCCAGGAAGCAGAGAGAGGGGGGGGAGGAGGCTCCCATGTTGAAATATTCGTTCCTATTTTATTGTCACATGACGCGATGCCATAACCTGCGGGAGGGAGCGGTTCCGGGTGGGTTTGCGGTTGCTGACCAGCAGCTGGTTGCGGTTCTCCTCGCGGCCCGTTTTGGAGGAAGGATACCTGTCGGCGCCGTCTGTGCAGTCCATGTCTTCGTCGTTGGCCGGGGATCGGGGACACCGGGAGCGATCGGCAGCGTCTCCGGGGGGCGTAAGAGCCATCCCCGCCGTCCTGGCCGAAGAGCTGCCGCCCCGGCCCGCCCCCCGCCTCGGCGTCCATCTTGGGCGAGTACAAGTCAAAGACGTGAGAGATGACCGACTTGCTCGGCATGTCGAAGAATTTGATCTTCCCTCCCTTCAAGTCCTCCCTGGCGTTAAACGGGTTGACCTTGCGCATGGCGCCCTTCCGCGGCGTGTAGAAGGGGTCCTGCACGTTGATCTTGCGCTGAGGCTTCTGGGCGAAGACGTCGGACTGGCTGCGGGAGAGGGTGATGTTCCTGCGCGGCCGCGGCGACTTCTGGGGGATCTTGTCGTCCGGCAGCGCCGCGATCAGACGCTTCACCCCTTGAATCTTATCCGAGGCACCTGAAAAGGGGAACAAATCAAAATGTCAGAAATATCACCCCCATCGGACACACCCCCTTCCAGGAGGTGGTACACAGACTTCCTGAACACATGGTGATTGGCTGTCACAGAGATCACCTGTCCACTAGCCCCCTCCTACCAGCTCCTGATCCTCACTGTGTGACCGGAGGCCACCGGTGACTGCACGGTCACAGTGCTGGGGGAGCGAGATTGAGCGCACTCCCAACAAATAACAGGGACACGGGACACACTGTCAGAGAGGAGAGCGGGTACAAGCAGTCCGTGATCGCTGAGTGTTTGTACATGATTGAGGACAAAGTGTGGTTACTATATCCTCATTTATGAATGAATGGGAAGTGATCTACATCACCTCCTACATCACTTCCTGTTCATTCATGATTGTGGTTATAGTAAACATACTCTGTCCTCATGTTAGGAATGATCAGCAACACTCAGTATAGAGGATTCCTGGTCATTGATAACAGGGGCTGCAAAAAAAGAGATTGGGGGTTTTTGTCGTTATAACATAGATCATGTGAATCAAAACACGTTCCTATTGGACACGGAGGGTTGCTTTAAGCAAACCCCAGAATTTCATGTTCCCCTCATCCCATCCCAACCTTCATTTCTATGAAGTCTTTAGGGTGCTCGGTGCTGATTGGGCTGGACTGATTGGATTGGGTTGGGCTGGATGGTCTTTTTGATTCCATTCGCCCTTCGTCTGATCACATGACTTCCCTGAACACACCCACCTTTGGGAAGAGGTTTTGTGTCGGTGATCTCCGGGTTGTTGGCTCTTCGCTCATTTTCGGCCTCTTCGTTCTTCATGCGGCTCAGGATCTCATCCAGCTGCTTCACCATCTCCACAAAGGAGGGGCGGAGCTTCGGATCCATCTGATGAGAAGTGAACACGGCTCTATGATCTCTCCCCCCAAAAACCAGCCCGGCGCGCACACCGAGGACCGGCAGGCAGACCAGGTCTCCCATGATAT